AAAACTGTTGGACCTATTTTAAATCGCCTGATTGATTGTGGACGCAAATTCGTATCAAGAAAAGATTAAAATAAATTAAATCGTATCGATAGAATCCCGGTACCGATTCCCTATGTCTTACTCTCCGTCTGTAGTCCAGGTGCTGCCCAGATGATGTTCATTTGCATTGTATTGCACGATTCAAAGTTCTGAACTGGTAAAATGTTACTACCTACTTGTTTAGTGATTTTCATCAGAGACGATTGTTAAACCAGATGTTGAGCGGATATTTTCTAAAGAAGGCAATTTATGAAAAACGCTCAAGATTAAGTCCAAATAGTGTCACAACTATTATTAATAACTTTTAATGCAATAACATGTTCTATTATTTGTTATTTTATTTTGTAACAACAAATTATCAATATCTAGATATCTATTTTGTAATCTTTCATATTTAACATAAAATGATAAACATTATTACTGTTTTGTAATAATATATAATAAATATGTTTTGAATTTAATTGAAAAAATATTTGAGTTTACCTCCGTTATTTCAGAAAACATGGGTTCCGTCTTCTTATTTTCTATCACGCAACGCATTCTTGATGATAAGACGATCGAATCTCTCTTCAGCTTATAGTTAGAAAATATTTCAAACGAATTTATTAGGGCTTATTTTCAATTCTTTATATTATTTCTATGATTAATTGTGTTTACCACGCATCAAAATGCATTTTTTCCCTTCATATACCCTTCGATTCCTTTATGGTTAAATCTTCTCAATTTAGTTTAATTTTTTAGCCTTGGATTAGTTCAATTAGAATTTTTTTTTGAACATACGCGCGATGGCTTAGCATTATCTATACATATAGTATGTCAACTGTATCCTGTCTCTATAGCTCTTCCTCGTTTTACCGTCTATTTTAAACAGATAGGACGTCTTCCAATCACCAAAATTAATTGATTTTTTAGTCCTATTCGGATTCAAGTTGTAGCAGACGTTCATGAGCAACATACACAAGAGCAGTCACAAAAACATGCTATAATGCGAAAAGTATTAAGTAATGCTGAACGCCAAAAACTATTTCGTGCTAAAAAAGGAGCATTAAGTAATAGATCAATTCAAAGTAGCTTTCATCAACTACGAACTAGTGCTGAACGTCAAAGATTATACAAAGCAAATAAGAAATTACGACTGAAAAATACAGAAACTCAAGAAGAAGAGTTTACACAAACCCAAGAAGAGCAATATGTACAACATCTCGTTAAAGAATGATAAATGTTGCAAATAAAAAAGATATTTTACATTCAAAAGGAAATTAAATTAAATTTTACCTATTCCTGATCCATTTACAAATTATTAGACTAACAAGAATATTAAAATTATAAAATAAAATCATTATTGCCATMATGCGTTAAACAAGTTCAATATTTTATGATTTCTATAAATATATGAAGTTATCACTTCTGTCGAGCTTCCCGTGTAGCACACCATTTTTTTATTGGTTGGTGCAGTCATAATTATCTCGGTAACTGTTAAGTTAAGTTTTGCACATGTTCCTGAATAATACTTACGGTTTTTCCATTTGAAAAAAAATCCGAAAAATTCGCATTTACAAATTAAAATTGACTGATGCGAGCTTTTTTCTAAAATCAATCCGTGGATTATTAAAAATTGGTGCACCCTGTATATGAAAATGTGGGTAGTTTTATTAATAAATATCTCATAGACTAAAAAAGCACTTAGTCATTGACTGATTAAAATCGATCTTCATCGGTATTTCTTACTTTTTGATGTTCGCTTTAAATTGGATAAATATTGCTTCTTTGAAGGTATAAATTGAGGTTCTTGTGGATTTGGATAAAGGTTTCGTTTTAATGTTATCAGCGTGATCTTCTCGTGTCTTCTGATACCATTGAATTCGTTTTTAGAAGAGTTTTGTCTTTGATTTTTCAGCCTCCAGTTTGTGGAGGTTCGTCCGGAACCCGACCTCGACGTCAAGCAGGATCGGAAAACGCAGACTCGGAAGGTACTCCAGCTACCATTGAAGTATACAGCGGCCTCTATGTAAATGAAGCTAACGACCTCGCCAAAGCTGGCCAAGATGATGACTCTGTCTTCAGCGAAAAGGTTCGTAGCTTTTTTACAGTTTTTTTCTCATAAATGTGTTTTTTTTTACCAGAGCCTTATTCTTGCCTGTCTCCTCGTAAAAAAACTGCGATAATTGATTGTTCTTTAAAAACAAAAACCTATCGCCATTTCAAAGTTGCCTTAAGTTAATGAGAGTTAAATCAAAGTTGACCAAAATGGCAAATGCAATGTATATAAATTTATTGACTTAATCATTATGGCCTTTTACTTTTTTAATATATTTATATTCTGTTAATTGTGTTCTTTTTTTGGTTGTTTGGTTTTATGAAAGCCTTGATAACGAAATATGCAAGTCTTAATAATAAATTAATAAAAAATACAAATGAATAATTAAACTAAAATTCAGTTGGACAATAATTGATAAACGAAAAATAAAAATTCAGTTGGACAATAATTGATTTTTTAAACATTTTTTGCTATAAAATTGTGATTTTTCATTCAAAGATTCAATGTTTAAAACACGATTTTGGTAGGACTAAAATGCGTTTTTTTAATTTTTTTCACTTTTGTTTCTCATAATAATAACATGGCAAACTATGGGAGTCGAGAGTGCGAGACCCTTAGAACCGTTTTTATCAAGCTTATCAGCTTTTACCAGCTGAGTTTAGCCTGAAATTTTCACTTCGTATCACCCATGCATGAAATGTTTGCCGATGTTTTGCAAGCCACTCGTACTTCAAGGAAGAAATTCATACAAGGGCGAAATAAAGTGCATATTTCGAGAGTGATATTTTCAGGCCAAACCACGCCGACTAGAACCGATAAGCTCGAAATCTATACACACTTGATCACAATTTTTTCACTTAAAACTGGCATTTTTGTATGTAAAAATGTACAATCATAACAGCAAAGTCGTTTATGTGAATATATTTAGGCATTTAAGCCGAATCCAACTGAAGATCATTGTAACAAAAATAAAATACAGAAATAAAATGAAAGTAAAATCTTTAAAGCTAGTGAAAGTAAAATGGCAAAACGCAGCAACAGATTTTTTATAAAATAGAATTAAATATTGCAATAAAATTGTGATTTGTACAAACAAGAGTTTAAAAAATCACTACTTTCGACGAATTCATAGAAGCGTAAATACCGTACGCTCATAATAACATACCAACGAAAATGATAAATATAATAACAATAATGATAATAGAGCATTAAATGAATAGATGGATATTAATTTCAAAGGTTTTCCACGAGGAAACAACTGTAATAAATTAAAAATACATACGGCAGTAAGATACGAAATTACTCATCTCGTATTTGATATTCATTACACGTGATTCGTTACTATTAAATAATGATTTTTAAATAAGAATGAACGGATGCGTTCTTGTTGAATGCATCGTATTCATTGTGTTTTTACGGTTGGTGACTCTAACTGAACATCTTTCCTTCGCTATGAATGTGCCTACTTGGTATTCATCGTAAAAGGGTTTAAAATGTGACTTCCTTTCTTCTCCTCGTACGAATCATGTAGTAAAATGGCGGTTTCTTAGAAGAGTGTCATGCTAATTCAATAAATTGAAGTACAGAAAATAATAACAATAATATATGTACGATAAAGAAAATCAAAAGAATGAAAATGCAGTTGCAGCTAATTAACAAAATTAACGTACCATAAGCGCAAAAGCTCCTGTTCTTATACCGCAAAGCTTTAAAATTAATCTCGGTTATGAATTTGTTACTTAACGGTAAATGCGAACATTGGAAGATGACGAGCTATTTGTCTCCGGATGACCACGATGATGTAGTTTTCAGTACCCAGAATGGTATAAAAAGAAACGTAACTGTACCATTGAAATGTCGGTTTGCATGAATTTCTTGTTAAACGATGGCAAATGAACCGTGCAGATACATTTCTGGTTCATCATCGAACAGCTTAAGAATCCTCAATGCATTTCTTTTAATAGATTTTTTCTTGGATTAATTGGATATTTGACYAGCACTGAATTTCAAAAAACCAACTGCAAAATTACGAGAATAGGTACAGTTAATTTGTGTTTAAAAAAGTTCTATAATTCTATTATGAAAGTTTCTTTCATGGCGATTTTCTTTGTTACACGCTAGCGCTGTAAACTAATCTAGTGCAGGGTTTTGCAAATKTTTTTACAATGGAACACTTTGCAAACCSAKAATTWTTTTTTAGTTCTTGATCTTGAWAGCCGACAGAATATAAAAAAAATTGTTGAATCAGTCGGGCAAACCAAAGACGGAACAGATGAGAAAATGTTCTGGAATCCTGAATAATTCTATTCATAAAAATTATTAATTTTGTTTTTTTTAGTATCCCGATGATGCAATCTGCATATCCCAAAGGAGTTTCGCAATTGGAATTTGCATCGCCGGTTTAATTCTTATGCTGTGCGTGGTGGCCGCTATTTTGTGTCTTTTGGCGAGACGACGAAAGAAAACTGTGTCGAATCCTGGAAGTTCCATTTACAGTGGACCATACACTAACACCGCTTACAGTCACAGCAGCTAGAAGATCATCGAGTTAGAATAGTGTTGCTCCTTTTTTATTTGTGTTGATGAGGGCGTTTACTTCCTACTTGCCATATACGAAAAATCAACCACCTTCTTTCTTGATCAATG